CACTTAGAAGGGCTCTCTATACATAGCTCCTTATATAACCTAAGTCTAACTTAATAAAGTCTATCACTTTAAAGCTCATGAGACCATGAACATGTATGAATGGTAGTTGTTATTTTCCTCATCCACACAACTGTGTTAATGAATTAATATTATGATTATGTTTTAAGAATGTATGAAGTACATTGAGTGAGTTAGCACACATCTGTCATCCTAGCACTTGGGAGTAAGAATAAGGAGGGTCAAGAAGGTTAGGAGTTCAAGGCCATTTTTGACTACATAGCAAGTTTGAGGCTCATCTGCACTACATAAGACCCTGTCTCAAAACAACAACAAAAGAATGTAGTGAGGCACCATATAAGTATTTATCAAATGTCCATCATAAGGAATATTCAGTTATAATTTTATTTAAGATTTCTGAATTGGGGGAAAATATAGCTGTATAGTTTCTTACTTTCATTAAACACAGATAGGAGACTGTGGCAGAAGATTATATAAAATAAATATAAAGAATTTTGGATAGGGTATGCAGGCATACTCATGCGGGAATGTTCGAAAGAGGTAAATATTATATCAAAGGACAAAGGAAGGACTGGCCATAAAACTCCACCCAGCAGCCCCGTTCATTCTGCTGGTTGGGTAATTTGAGATTGGGTATGCTATTTAATTATTTGGGACACTAGTTTCCTCCAGTGTAATTTGAGGGTGAGTTATGATGTCTCTATCACTCATTCTAACTCTTACTTTCTCAAATTTTACAAGGGTAGTCACTTGATAGTCTGTGAAACTTAATTTCACTGATTTTATGAATGCAGTTACTTAAAGTGGTAAAGTTCATTTGGTAAAAGCACTTGTGTAATAGATTTTCACATCAGATACATGATGTTTCTACTCAATGTCAGCATTACAATTAAAATTAATTTATTTTTAAATAAATCAAAAGTAAATAAAATATTTGCAATGTAAAAACAAGATGATAATTATAAGCAAATAAAATAATAAGAATCGTTGAAAATGACTGAATAAGTAAGGAAACAAAGAAGTTAAAAACCTGTGCCTCCTTTTAGCCATTTCAAAATTTGGTTATAGCTATTTTGAGTGTGCAGCAGTAGACCAGTCTATTTGACATATTGTGTTTCTTTTATCACTGATGAAAAACACTAACATGTATTTTCTGATTTTGTGGGAGTTACTAATTGCCATTTCTGAGAAATGGCTATGTGCCTAAAAGTGACATATATAATAAGCATTCTGTGAGCCTTCTGCAATATTTACAGTTTTTTCAGGCAGTAACTGAGAAAATGGAGACAGCAAGCCTCACTGCAGTTTCTTTCACTTACATTATAACTACAAAGCAATGTTGGTATGGAGTCATTTTGATAATTGTGTTCAATTAATGGGTATGATAAGATTCAATGGCTGTGGCTGTGAATGAAAATTATTTATTGTAATTAATGTAGATTGTCCCAGTTCAAAACCATTCCAATTATAATATCCAGATGATTGGGGGAAAAAACACAAACAAACAAAAATCCAACTGTAATGACTTGAATTCAAATCAGTACCTGAAAGTTGTGTGATCATTCCTAGGTTCATTGCAATCCTATTCAAAGTAGCAAAGATGTGGAACAACTAAATGTAGCCTGACAGATGTATGAATAATGAGTATGTGTACACACACACACACATACACGCCACTGTTATACTATCAGCCATAAAAAGAAAAGAAATTCCATTATATGTCAGATGAAAGAGTTTTTATCTTGATGCCGAGTAAAGCAATCCATTCACAGAAGTCTGGGATTTACTTAAACAAAGTATTACTGTAGTTAAATTCAGAGAACTGAAGATCAATGTGGTGGCTATCAGGGATAGGAAGAAGAGAAAAGGGAGCAGAAGAAACAACTGGACACATCGTCTCAGCCAAGACGAATGAGCTGTACATGCCTGTTATACAGCCTTTAGCTCTTTGCTGCATGGTGATGTATTGCAAACTTAAAAATGCAAGCAGTTACATCACAGGTGAAGTGGGGGTTCTTAGTGATGTAATGGCCTGCGAACCACCCAGGCTCCTGAAAGAAACCCTTCACCCATGTAGTGACATAGGAAACATCTCCAATCTAGATGTGGATGTAATAGTTTCTTTGGTCTCTCTGGTGTTTTCGCATCTCCCTCTTGCGGGCCACAAGAATATATCATAGATATTCAGCTATGTATTACAGCTAAACGTTGACCGGCCAAGTGTCTGGCAAAGCCATTTATTATGAATATTTGGTGTTACCCAGCCTTTAATATTTCAGCTGTCTTCTGCTATGAAATCCTTGTGTGCCCAGACCAATTGGCAAACAGTTCAGCTCCCCAGACCTGCTGAACCTACTAAGTTACTAACTCCCCTGCTGAGCTTAGGAGACAAGCTGTAGGAGACTACTAGCTTTTTTTCTTGTGCTAATGAAGCTCAGACCATCCCCTTGCCTTGAGGAGGCCAAGTGGTTCTCCAGAGCAACTGACTGAAAACAAAGGAAGTTTTTACATATCTAGGTGGGAAGTAAAACAACATTCCTGAGGAGGCAGAGAACCACATGCCCAGAGAAAGAAAGGGCAGGAATTTTCTGTAGTCAAGGACAGAACAGGGTGGCTAGAGAGAAGAGAGGATGGCAGAGGTTCTGTAGAGGGTAAGCAGACCTCGGTAGAGTTTTCTAAGTGACAGGAGTAGAGAGTAGCAGAGATGGAGAAAGAGCATACAGAGGACGAAGGTGAGGCTGGAAGCATTAGCAGGACTATGAGCTAGAGAACCGGACAAAACTATAGTTATGGAGACAGGATTTCATCCCAGAGAAATAAAGTAGACGGGTATAGATCTTGGTATGTCTACAGTTATTCCTGCCTTGAATGCCTGGTGGAGCTATAGCTGAATTGATAGAATTTTGTCTTAGAGGAATAAAGTTAACAGACATAAGAACATAGATATTTTTCCCTCAGATGCCCCACGTCAGACGTAGCTAAGCCCCTGGACCCTGAGTAGTCCATATCTCCCTAGGAAAACTCACCCTCTTTACAAATAAATAAATAAACAAACAAACAGCAACATAATATAAATATAAAAATATGCACAAAAATAACAACTACCCCAAAATAAATTAATGGATTAAAAATAAAAGAATAATGAATACCTAATAATCAAAGCAGAACAACCTGAAAACAAATTTATATTAAAGAATAATGATAGGAAAATAGAAATAGTTGCATAATAATACATACAAGTTTAATTACAGTATGTAACAGGAAGTCAGGGTGTTAATTAAGAAAGTCCTACCAACAGCTATTTCCTCTTAAAAATAAGCACAAATAGGGGGCTAGAGAGATGGCTCAGAGGTTAAGAGCACCGACTGCTCTTCCAGAGGTCCTGAGTTCAATTCCCAGCACCCACATGGTGGTTCACAACCATTTGTAATGAGGTCTGGCACCCTCTTCTGTGTTTATAATAAATAAATAAATAAATTTAAAAAAAAAGAATAAGCACAAATAAGCAATACTAAGTAGAATTTGATGATTATTTTAGATGTCTTGGTGTAAATATTTAGAATTATTCTTAAATAGGTATGTAGTACATTAAACTCCTTGACAGTGAGTTTGGAAGAATCTCTAGTTATAAAGCATAGACTGAAGTGTGAGCTTCTGCTATTTGTGACTATAGGTGTGAGCTCATGTCTATGTTTGTATGCGTATCTGTGTACCTGCATGTGACGGCCAGGGTCAACATTGGTGTCTCCAATTGATTTATGCCTTATTTTTGAAAACAGTGTCTCTCACTGATTCTGAAACTCAGGCATTTGGCTAGTTTGGCTACCCAGAAAGTCCAAAGGATCTTCTTCTCTGCCTCTGCAGTAGTGGGAGGGATTACAGGCATGTATTGCAGGATCTACCCCACCCCCGCCCCCCACCCCCGTCCCCGCCTCCCGCCCCCTCATCCCCCAGACAGGGTGGCTCTGTGTAGCCCTGGCTGTCCTGGAACTCACTCTGTAGACCAGACTGGCCTTGAACTCAGAACTTGGAGATCTGCCTGCCTCTGCCTCCCAGTGCTGGAACTAATGACCTGTGCCATCACTGCCGGGCACATTCAGCTTTTGTTCTGGTTTCAAGGGACCTCTTGCTCCCATAGCTACCAGAACTAAGCACAGGCCCTCTTGCTCCCATAGCTACCAGAACTGTCTCCCAAGCCTGGTTTTGTTTTTTAGCAAATTCATGAATTGTAAAATACATTTTACTTTTTGTCATCTGGCTTTAAATGTGGTTTACAACTTTTGAAAATAAATGAGGACGGAGATGAGTCCTCCTCCTCCCGCCCCCCACCTCCTCCTTCCAGTAGCTTCCCTTTCTAGCCTGTTTAGGGGTTGGCTTGAAATTCAAAATCTTTTTACTACATCCTCCAGGCTGCTGGCATTAGAGGTACACGCCATCAAATTGTCTTGTACTCCAGGTTATTTAGAATTTCTTCCACTCTAAGAATTGCATATTATTTCAAAGTTCAGCAGAATAAAGAAAAAACAGATGCATGTCAAGAAAGAGGATCATTTAAATGAATTACTTTAAACAATAGAGCCTTTAAAAGAAGAACCAGACACTAAGAAATTCTAGAGATGTATGCAAGATATATGCAGAGATGTAGAAGCAAAACAATTGTTCAGTTGGCATTTTCATCTAATTTACAAAATTTGCATTCTGGACAACTAAATTGAAATATCTGAGCTAAATATTGTAATGTCATCACAAAGTAACCATCACAATATAATCCAGTGTGTTCCTTAGTACTTAAAATAATCATTCAAAAGATTTTTAACTTCATTTGAATAATGGAAATACTAATATATCAGTATAAACAAATAACAGTTATTTCCAAATCGACAGCACATGTGGCTTTAAGAAATGGCATAGTTGGTAATAATAGAATTAGGAATTGAATATGGAATTAAGGAAATAATTCAGTTATTCACTTGGGTACATACCGTCCCGGGTCGGGGATAAGGTATTCTTCCATCATACTGGACCCAACGATGGTCTGCACTTTCCTTATGAGCATATGGGCCATTAAAAACTGCTCTGATGTCAGCCATGCTATACACACAGACAGCAGAGCCTTTGAAGATGGAGCTGAAAGAAAGGAACGCCATCCAGTCATTCACCCACTGAGCACATTCTGCACCCCAGAGCTGTGTGGAAAAATCTATGGCACATTCTAGTTGACAGGCATTGCCAAAATATGTGCCTATGTCATGAAGGAGTTTATAGGCAAGTAATTCTGACTGAGCATTGATGGTGACAGGGACGAGGGCTGCCAGGTGGATCATCAGGGACCCCAGGAAAGAGGGGAGGTCTACACTGAGAGCAGTGCTTCTCACCTTCCCAACCCTTTCATACAGCTCCTCTTAGTGTGGTGACCCCCAAACATACAATTGTTTTCGTTGCTACTTCATAACTGTCATTTTGCTACTGTTATGAATCATAATGTAAATATCTGATATGCAGGACATCTTATGTGACCCCAAAGGGGTCATGACCCACATATTAAGAACCACTGATTCAGAAAAACTATAAGATAGAAATGATTAAGTATGATGCTTATTTACATATTGTTTAGTTTTTGAAATCATCATAATACTTACAAAGAGCTTAAAATGAAAATGAAAAAATGTTATTTGTGTTTAAAACAGTAATTATTTAGATATATAAAAAACCATACCATTTATCTGTCTTTTTGAAACTTCTTGTTTTATTTGTTATTATTGTTGTGTTTGTGTATGACATGTAATTCTGGGAGAGGAGCAAATTCGATTCTCTTTTCAACAGTGTGTTGAGGGGATAGAATAAGGTTGTCAGGTTTGTGTGTTTGCTGACCTAACCACTTTCTAGCCTTTATCAGTCTACTAAAAGTAGGTGTACATCTCGAATTTGGATACTGAATGTGTTGTTCAAGTGATTTTGTTTAAACAATTTTTAAGGCAGAAATGAACTTTCATTTCATGAGCTGGGCTTATGAATTATAGTAGTCTACTTAATACTTAATGTGCCCCAAATCATGTGGTTTCAGCAGAAATACTAAGCAGCTAAAATTTTCACAGGAATTCTAAAACTCTACAACACAGAGAATAATCATTAGCACCCTTCAGGTATTTCTTTCTTGCTTCATTTCTGGAAAGCAAAACACATTTTCTTTGAGGCCTGTTCTTAAAACTAAGATGACCCTTTCTGACCAAGTGACATCACCCCTGCTTTACACAAGCTAAGGACTCTTTAACATGAGAAGCTCGAACACTAATGTTCTTGGAATGATGTCAGTGGGAGACATCAGAGTCAGAAGGTAATGGTAAGCAGGCAGATAAGAGGAAAGTGATATTGTGATAATAATCACATATCTGCTTGTTTATAATAAAGAAATAACGCACCATTATTAAAGGTTAATTATGTCTTTTCACTAGACAAAGGATATGGCATGCATTCCAAAATTACCTCAGTCTTCAGGGCAGCATTAAAAATAAAACAACAAAGAACACCAGGAACAAAGAGCTGATTTGTAACTTCACACTCTGGGTGGGCAGCAACTTGATAGGAAAAGGGAAAAAAGAAGTATCTTGGGGCTCTGTCTCCCTGGCACATATCTACATCTGTGTGTGGAACACACATCAACTTCAACTTCAAAGAAAGATTTTGCATGGAAAGGGGCCAAGAAAACTAGAACTGAGATACTTGAGCCAATGCAGGCAATTGCTCCTCTTGCATTTTTTTTTCAGTATTCATTGCACACTAATAGAAAAATGGATTCCCAAACAGCAGCTCTTGGGAAGTCTTCCTAATGTCCATAATAAAATATTTCCATCTTAAGTCTCACAATTAATTAAACAGTCTTTGTTTTTCAATATATTCTGAATCCATAGAAAATTCCAGCTTATGAGGATCTTGCCACAGAAAGAAATAAACTGTAAATTGTAGGAACTTATTCAAAGGAGGAGACCAGAGTCATTTCTTTCATTGTCAATAACAACCTCCAGGTCCTCTCATCCTAATGTGGAAGCCCATTGACAAAGAGTTAAGGGAAGATATATGCAAAACTCATTTCTTTCATTGTCAATAAAAACCTCCAGGTCCTCTCATCCTAATGTGGAAGCCCATTGACAAAGAGTTAAGGGAAGATATATGCAAAACTTAGAAGTAGTCTAGGCATGCAAGGGAAGTGTCTGTGTGCTTCAAACAGAGCCAAAAGTAAGTAAACGAATTAAATAGGATGAAGACAGTAGGGAGCACACCTTTATAAAAGATTTGTAGATGCCGCTCCTAACTCACAGAAGTCACAGAATCTCATTGATATCACAAGGCAGCACTATGCAGAAACCAGACATGAACACAGACATAGGAAGAGGACGGGCTTCAGTCTGGCCTCATGGATAGGAATCAGCCACTCATCTTAGAGAGTAGTTTAGTGGACTCTCAGAGCAGCCACATCTACCTGTTACGGTGACAAGGGGGTTGTGATGTGATAGGTTCTAAGTCAACAGTGCTCCACACTGTTTTGTTAATCAACTTGGTCCTTCATTCAGGCATTTCTTTAGTCCCACCTCTCTGGTCACACATCTGGAAAGCACTAATTATGAACATCCCTTGCATATGTTCTTTTCTTATACCTAACAATTTTATACTGTGACTTCGTATTAGAGATATGTTTTTCATGTGTGCAGTGACATGTGCTCAGCTGAGTCATTGATGCATCTGAAATAAGAGGAATGTTCTGGGGACTGAGTGAACATTTTCTGTGGTAATTAGCATAGTGGCCACCATGCTGGTATAAAGAGAATGCATATGAATAGATTTCTAACAAACACAAAAGCCAGGTCAAATGAGGAAAATAGGTGTGCTATGCAAATATGAGGGAAAATTAAAAAGATCAACTAGCTACTGTTATAGTTTGAAGATTAAAGTACCCCTAGTAGGCTCATGTGGGTTTTTTCTTTTTTAACAACTGTTCCCAAGTTGGCATTGCTATTTTGGGAGGTTGTGCATCCTTTGCGAGGTGGGACCTCGTCAGAGAAAATGGGTCTCTAGGGAGTAGGCCATGGTAATTATAGCCCAGCTCTACTTCTGGCCCTAGTCTTGCTGTGCTTCATAATTAACAAGGGTGAGCAAGCTCCTGGGGCATGCCGTAATGGATTACAACTTCGAAGGGTGAGTTACTTCTCTGAAAAGTTGCTTCTTTTGGGTGTTTGGTCACAGCGATGGCAATTGCAATTGCTCTAACTGTGTTAGTTTGGAGCTGGAGATGAAGCTCGGTGGACGAATACAAAGGTCTGTGAACCAGACAAGGAAACAACTATTTGACTCAGATACAGGAAAAATTTCAAGGACTAAAAGCATTCTCTTTGGGACTGGAGAGATGGCTGGGGGACGAGAGTTCTTGCTGTTCTTGCACAGACCCAGAGTTCAGTTTCCAGCACCCACTGCAGGCAGTTCACAGCTGCCTGTAAATCCAACTCCAAAATATCCGATGCCCTGTTCTGGTCTCTTTGGGCATCCACATGCACTTGCACATGCGTACACATGGACACAAACACATAAAAGTAAAATATATATATAATAAACCAAAACAAAACTCTTTTTCAAGCTTGAGGTAGGAGAGCAGAAAATGGACTGTCATCAGACTGGTCAGATATGAGAGTTTGGCATGGCAGCAAAGGTCCTCATTGTCCACCACAGACAAACCGCGTACACCGTGGTGGCCTTTTCTGGTGTGTCAGCTGCACCAGGCTAATGTCTTAAAGCTCAATGAATGTATTTAATAGATATGATCAAAGTACATGATCAGTTGATTTTAGGGAGATTACCCTTGATAATCTGGGTGAACCTGATTCAATAAATTCACAAGCCTTATAAAACCCAGCTAAGTTATCCTCAAATTCTGCCGCTGAAGTAATTTGGGCCATGTTCAAAATTCAACTTCCCTGCCTTTTCCCAGCAGCATGCCTTTTGGTTTTTGGAATTGTCTAGCAAAGACCCATGATCCTGTAACTAATTCCTTATAATAAATCTCTTCATATATTAAAAAAAAAAAAACTTTAAAAAAAAGGATTGTGTTCAACCTACCTGGTTGTGGTAAAGACTCCGTATACTACAGGATTTCTTTCATCTCTTGTAGGGAGCAAATAAATGTCTTCTGTTAATGGAAAAATAATTATGTACCATATTTTTGTTTTTCGGTATTACATTTGCTTTTTAATAATATATAATACTTCAAGAACTCTAAGCACTGTCCAAAATAAAGATGAATCACTGCAGCATTAAGGAATTAGGGGTAAAAGCTTTCTTACCAGTTATGTGACAACCTCTTAGTGGTCTGCGTCAGTGAGATGACTCAATTTACAGTCTCCATGACTATTTCCAACTAAGAATATGTGATTTCATATAAAATGGAAACCAGACAGTAAAGGAAGATTTTGCCTAACAGTTTATAAACATGTTGTGCTGTAATGGCTTCAGCCTAGTATTTCAATATGAAAATACTAGGCTGTATTTGTGCAGAGAATACAGCACTGATAGTCAAGAAGTACCAGAATGTTTTACAGGATGATGAGAGGTATGGGTATGTTTACTTTCAATATGAGGAATGCATAAAACACTGATGAAGTAATTGGAAGACTTAATTGTTTTGTCCACTTGAAAATAAAATTAGAAGATAATGATATTGACCTTATATGCAACTAAAATCTTTCCAGAACTAGATTTGAGAGGAATAAAAAAGAAGAAATAAGAAATCTGTCTGCAGCCTCTCTTAAAAAGAGGTTTTAAGTCAGATCACCATGGTCAAATGAATTTGTCAAATCAACAAATCTTCCATCCTCCCCAGCAGAGGGCATCCTAGGAACAAGGAATCCAGGCTATTCCTACCTGTTGCTCCCACCAAGGAAAAAAAGGAAGAAGGGGATTGCATGCATAGACTTTCTAGTCTCATAGCTCACATTTTCTGATTACTGTAATTGTTTCCCTTTATTAAATTTGAGGTTCTTTCAAATACAGGAATACTTCATTGTATTTTGCATTCAGACTGCGAGCAAAGAACAGCTTTGTGTGGGCGAAGGTCAATTTAGTAAGAACAATTCCAAGCTGTGCTTATTTGTCTATGTAGGTATTTGTGTATATGATACTAAAATAAATAAATGCTGTATTACTTGATTAGTAGGACTGTTCTACGAGCAAGGGACATGACACGTGACTTACGGAGTTCATCAAAATGAGTATCTGCCCCATCGCTTCCAGGAATTGAGCAAATCAGTCTCGCCTTAAGAAAAGTAGTCCATTTGTTTATCAGACTTCGTTGCCCACCTACATCATTCTGAAAGAATGGGAAACAAAAAGGTTAAAAAGTTACCAGAAGGAATCCACCACTCACTAAACACAGTAGGCATTACAGGTAGTATCTTATTAATACTACCTTTTACAAGGCACAGAGCCTGAGTATTGACTTCAACTACTCAATAATGGAAAGTTAGTCTGTCACTCAACCGTAAATGTTTTCTTATGGTTAAATGAATGCAAGCAATTTAACTCTGGTGGATGAGGAGATGCATGCAGGACTGCAGTAATTAAAGCAGGCTGGGATCAAATCCTGTGTCTGCCAAGTTTGTGTTCCGTGACCTATAAAACGCTAATACATCTCTATTCTGTCATTGATAAAATATGATTAACGTCTTGAAATTCGGTTATTTTGATGATCAAATGGAAAATTTTGTGTAATGTATTTAGTATTGTGCCAGGCATCTTGAGTTCAATAGCTGTTAGAATGACTTATGTATCATTTATGTATTTAAGAATATTTTCATGTTTTAGAAATAGGCTTCATTATAAAGTAAAAAGAAATGGTCTTCCTCAAGCTAATGTAGTACTAATTAAACATCAAGGAATCATAAGTATACAAATACATACATATGAAAATAATTTTAAATATTAACCTACATTTCCATACATTACTTCTCAGAAGTTTTTTATTTAAAATGGTTTTAAACACTGAGCCAAAAATAAACATCCATATCAAATAAACAGAATAAACAGAATTATGTCCTTTTTTACACTAAATTTATAACATTTTAAAAATGCATTTGTTGCTAGCTTTTTCTGTGCTCATAATAAATAAAATGCAAATTATTCATGGAATGCATACATTAAGCATTTCATTTCAATAAAAAAATTCTTAGATCCATTTTCCATTAACCTACTTACATTTAACCATGTTTCCTAAATCTTTTGTTTTTCCTCATCCCAAATTCTAGAAAGTTAATGAAAAGTCAATTGACAAGTTTGGTATTTGAAGATCTAGTGCCTACCTTCTCTGCTTAAAGTCTATAATGTAGACTAAATTAAAGGAGAATGTCTGAATGACTACTTTAAGCAAGAATATTGAATGCATATCTAATAGATATAAACATATATGCACACACATATCCATATATCCTTCAGAACAGGGAGGAGGACACAGAAGGAAGAGCAACAAGCCTCCTATCTTCAGAGAATTCAAGCTCAAGCACAGAAGGACACTATATGTAACTCTCAGTTTTACTCAGCTCTTATATTCCTTCCTGTTGATGAGGCACAGCTCTTGATCAATAAAATGTAGTAATAATTAATCCTTTCTTGATTTATTTTAGATGTATAAGAAACAACAATTATAAGCTGAAGGATAATTTTAAACTTTAAAGGCACTGATCTTGAATAAAACAGTTTATGAACTTAATGAACAAAACATAACAACATCTCACAGATTTTCGCTTCACTTATTTTTCTTTTTAAAATTTTGACACAGGGTTTCATTATATGACCCTGGCTGGCCTGGAACTCACTATATAGAAAATGTTGGCTTGAGTTAGCTGAAATCCACCTTCTTCTGCCTCCTGAGGGCTGGGATTAAATGTGTGTATCACTCCCCAGCAACGATGTCTTTCCTTTAAACTTAAATGTTTCCAAACTACTATGAATGACAGAATACAACTGTAGGGAAGTACATATGTGCTTGGGGTTACATATATAAATACATATTCATATGTATATGCATATACACAATAACGAAAATCTGTGAGATGTTGTTATGTTTTGTTCATTAAGTTCATGAACAGTTTTATTCAAGATCAGTGTCTTTAAAGTTTAAAATTATCCTTCAGTTTATAATTGTTGTTTCTTATTCTGTTTAGGTCTCAGTTTCTGTTAAAGTTTGGGGTTCTGATAAGGCAAGCCAGGGAGGTATTGCATACCAGGCATGATTCAGCACTTACAGCCCCAGCCAATCAGAAACACATTAATGTGGCTGCTGCTCACTTGGCCAATCATATTTAGGATGACCTAATCCTTTCTTGGTCATCTATAAAAGGAGCCTGTGAACTTCTCTAGGGGTCACTGCCATTTTGTTATGTGGCTGAACACAACATGCTGGAATTCTTCTCCTGAGAAATAAATGCTCTTGCTTTTGCATACATGAGTGGTGGTCATCTGTAGGGTGATCTGCGGACCCTAACAATAATAAAATTTACAATAGCATTTAATTTTTAGATGTTTTAAGTTAGCACCAGAAAGTCAACTTCTTAGTGCCTTCACCAATTAGAATACTCTTTACAGTACCGCCAATCAGGTGCCTCATAGATATATGTTTAATTGCTAAGAAATAACTAGCATTACAAATGAAATTGGCAAAATTCTTTAGGAAGGTTTGGAGAGCCAAGGAGATGGAGCCTCTGCTGGAGTTACTGCACACGGAGAAATGAGGAGAGGTGTTTGGGAAGTGGCAGATCTGATGCTATGTCTTTTTAATGGCAGTTGGTGTCCAGGCACATGTGTAAAGATGAGTTCCAGAAATGCCTCGGGGGCTGGATATTAGCAGAAAAGTACAACAGATAGAGCAATCCAAAATACATGGAGAGAACCAAGACAGCTTGTTTCAATGAGAACTGGGATCAATTAAACTAGTGAAGGAAAATGTTAGAAAAGTAAATTAGGGGAAGACCAAGGAAGGCTTTCATACAAGGCCAAGGTGCCTGTGTGTTATTAAGTACACAATGAAGAAGTTCTCAAGGACTGCAATTAGAAAAAAAATGAAATAATTATATTTGTCTGTCAGAAAACCACATAGCATACTCTATATAATGCCATTCAAATAACAGTCATGTCTGTAACTGCTCTTAAATTTCTATTGTGTATATTTATTATTTGAGTGTCATTGCTCAATGGTATTCTACATAGCTAGCTATTTGATGATTCTGATGTCTCTGAAGATGTAAATTCAGACTTATCTAAATATGGCTTTTAAAAGCCGGGCGGTGGTGGCACATGGCTTTAATTCCAGCACTCGGGAGGCAGAGCCAGGCGGATCTCTGTGAGTTCGAGGCCAGCCTGGGCTACCAAGTGAGTCCCAGGAAAGGCACAAAGCTACACAGAGAAACCCTGTCTCGAAAAACCAAAAAATAAATAAATAAAATAAAATTCTCATATCTCAGGAAGTATCATTCTTTTCTAAATATCCTGGTATATAAAATGTCAATAAGTGTCCATATTCAAACATTTTCCTTATTCTATTTTCAATTCTTACCTGTTGTAAACATAAAAAATTCTAACCTACTAGCTCCAAATTTGTTGATTAAAAAAGAAATGTTTATTTTTTAACTTGATAAGTAAAAATTGCCATATTTTAAATGGAATAATTTCTGAGTGCTCTTGTCTCTCTACCCAGCTGTCTTGTCCAGTTCCTTAAGGAGCTCCAGATAAAAACAAACAAACAGAACAAACCAGGTCAAAGCTACCTGCTAACATCAGAGCAGTGAGCACAATTTGGGCACAATGCTCTCAGTAAGCACTGGATCACTGAACAGAAACTTTCAGAGAAACCGGGAGCATTGCAGGGGAATTCAGTGCACTAGACTTTGTATTTCTTCTGCAAGGAAGTATCGGTCTGACTTTGTTGTCCAGCTCTCAGCTCCTGTATTTGTTTGCAAAGCCACAAAAATCCCATCTGAAAACTTTGAGCCCAGAAGAAGGCTGAAAGGAGGTAATCACTCTTGTACTAAATCGTCACGTCTTCACTTTTTTTTTCTAAAGCTCTACAGAAGCCAGCAGTTTCCCCAACACAAAAGATTTATTATTGAGATGTCAGAATTGGCAGCTCATGGGCACCAGCCACTTCTGTGTGCCTCCACTCTATTTATCATGGCTCCTTTGTTGTTAGATCCTCTACACAAAGATGCACATGAAAGCACCAAAGAGAAAAAGGTAAACAAGCCTGAACTTTGGTGCCCCCTCTGGGTGGTGAGTAAGGAGAGTGCCTGTGAGCAGTCATTTGCTTGGCTTTTGACAGCAGATTATCAATTCTTTTCACCTAGTAATAAGTGGGTAAGTCATGATACAGCCTAATGGACAGGACATACTTCTTCTGTGCAAGAAAATTGAGGTTTATATAAATATTAAACGGACATGCAAAGTAGCTCAAGGCTGTCACCCAGGAGTGTTACTTACAGTCACAATACTGGGTTTGTATACTAAACATAGTTTTATCTGTGTAAAATATTCCCTTTAAAGACCTCTCGGTACCTTATAATATCATTTTCACACATGTTTAGGGGAAAAAAAAGGTCTATGGAAATATATTCATTGATTTTAAATTGTACTGCTGAATCCTGAAAATTAGTGAAATCACCAAGGCAATTGTGAATGTATTGAAGCTGTATGTTCCAGGGACGGGGACGTGCTGAGGTAGTAGAATGTTTGCTTAGCATGGAAGACTGTGTAGTCCCAAATTCGCTGAGTTCAATGAGTCACATATGTGTCATATAGGCAAGTGGCTGGTTTTCTTCTCTGCCCTTTTTCTTAGCAATTTGTGTCTATACATCTTTGTTTTGCCTTCTAAGGTATCTCAGCTGTCAGATGTTAGTCAGTGGGGAGAATGGTTCTTGGCTGTCCAGCTACCGGGAATTTACTTGAGATCCTAAGTACTAGAAAAGCCTCTGGTGTCTTTAGAAGTAGTAGAGAGGGGGTACAATTAGATCTGATGTTGGTAGGGGGTCGCTCTGACAGGCTCCTTTTCTAAAGATACATGTCTCTGTAACAGCAGTCTCCCAAGACCATAAATAATTCCATATTTCATGTGGCTTCTCACCCATTTCTATGTGAGTCAGGAGACTTCAACATTTGTTTCTACAACTCACCTGAGAGGATGGCCACGTATGATATCATGTGAAGATGAACTGAGGCAGTTCTTATTAAAATTGTTATTATATCAGTATTTTCCTTTTTAGTACTGAGAACAGTTTCGCTGTTCTTCCCATGAACCCATCACAACAAACCACAGTTACAACTTAT